CTAGCAGTAGAATTAATGGGTCATAAGGTAATTCTGTGTTTAACTTTTTGGGGAAGGGCATTGCTATTTTGCACAGCGGTTGTACCTTTTTACATTTGCAGTGTACAAGGTTCCAATTTCTCCATGCTTGCCAAACACATTTTTTTCAATAGCTATTCTAGTGGGTGTGATGAGATGACCCACTGTGGTTTTGATTTGCCTTTCCCTCATGACTGATGGTATTGAGCATCTTTTTATGTACTTGTTGCCTGTATATCTTGGAGAAGTGTGTACTCAAGACCTTTGCCCATTTTAAAACTCTTTTGTCTTTTTGTTGAGTTGAAAACATTCTTTATGTATTCCAGATACAATTTCTATATCAAATACATGATGTGCTTTTTTTCTAGTTTTGTAGTCTGTTTTTTTACTTTCTTGAAAATGCCCATTGATGCCCAAAAGTTTTTAATTTTGATAAAGTCTAGTTTATTTTTCCTTTTGTTGACATGAAAACTCACTCCTGTTTTCTGTTAAGAATTTTATTATTTTAGATCTTATGGATCTGTGATCCATTTTGAGTTAATTTTCATATATGAGGTGAAATAGAATCCAAGTTAATTTTTTTTACCTCTTGAGGTTCCTGAAATTTTAATAGAAATTACACTGACTCTGCAGATTGCTGCATTACTGCCATCTAAATAATACTAAGTCTTCAATTTTATGTCTTTACTGAGGTATTATTTAGTTCCATTTATTTAGATCTTTCTTAATCTCTTTCATTAATGTTTTATATTTCAGCATCTGTGTCTTTCACTGCATAAGTTAAATTTATACTTGGCTTTGTTAGACACTGTCATAAATGGAATTCCCAATTGTTCATTGTTGGTGTGTAGAAACACCATCTGGGTTAATATAGTACCTTGTAACTACTGAATTTATTTATAAGCTCTAGTCATATGTGTGGAATTTTTAGGATTTCTACATATTAGATAATGTCATTTGTGAGTAGATAGTTTTACTTCTTCCAATATTGATGCCTTACTTTTTTTTTTACCTAATTGTTATAGTTAGAACTTCCTTACAGTGTTGAACAGCAGTGGTGAAAATAAATATTCTTGTTTTGTTCCTGATCTTGGGGGGAAAACATTACATCTTTAACCACTGAGTCTGATGTTAATTGTGAGTTCTCAAGGTTTAACCTACTAAATAACAGAAACTATGGAAGTGTGTTCCCCATATAATAGAATCCATGCCAACTGGGAACTTGTTAGAAATGTGAATATTTTCTTACTCTACAGTTGTAGAAAGTAAGGTCTACCATCTATATTTGGAGACACTGTCCCGGAGATTCTGATTTAAGAACTACTGTAGTAAAGTTCTTTCAAGTTAGGACTTGGGCTTCATTTTCTTTGTATTCCTTTTAGTTGCCTTTAGGGTCAGTAAGGCTACCAAAGTGTCTGCATAGTCTCTTAGCTTGTGTAAGAGTGTTGAGCCACCATGAATAATTTCAGATTTAATCTTAGACACTTAGAAGACTTTTCAGAAAATTTTATATTTTGTATTCAGTCTCAGGCCCATGATAAGCAGCATATGTGTTTTTATGTAGACAGTTCAAAGATTTCCAGAACTACTTCAGAAAGTGACAAGAATTATGGAATGCATTAGAAGAAAAGAGGAATATTTTGAGGAGTATTAATGGCAATATGTCTTTTTACAATAGTAATTTTTTTAAGCTTATACATTTACCCTATTTTTAGATCACCTCTAGGTGCCTAAGCTTTCCTTTATTTTCTGTACTGTGGGAGTAGAGTCCTAGGATCATTATATTAATTACTGTTGATTAAATAATTAAGGTGCTCTCCAAACTTTCTGGTTCAAGTTTTACTGTAAGCAAATGAAAAATCAACTCATTAACAACTGTTAACGGATTTTTAAGATGTAAGATTATGTGCTTCTATGTCAAATGTTTTACTGACTATAAACCAATTTTAGGTCTTGTTTTTGCCTCACACCTTATTTAGCAAAAATAAAGAATTCTTGATTGTTAAAATCACAGTTTAAAACCTGAAATTGATCAAGTTTCCAGTATTTTTTTTTTCATGGAGTTACTTGATTGTCCATAAATATTATAGTTGCAGTTTTAGAAATTGTGTATGTGACATTTTTCATCTGTCTATGGACAAATATATATGCTCTCTAGCTGAATTTCTTAGTTTTTTGCATCAAAAGAACGAAAAACCTTCCTTGCTTGGTACATTTATATACTTATAGCCCATGTTGGTGGTTTGAACAAGAGAACTTCAAAAACTTTTCAACTGTATTCGAAGGGCTGTACCTTTTAAATGTTGTTTTTGATGAGGGTATGGATAAAAAAAATAAAGAGCTGAGTTTTAGATGTCTAGGAAGGGAAATTTTCTAATTAGGAAAGGTTACAATAGAATGGGACATTCTGAAACACAAACAGTTGAACAGTAGATAATAAATTCACTGATTGAGAGATAATATTTAGGAAGACAATAACTTTCTCAAACTACCATTATGAATAGGATTTTATTTTGCTTGTTTTTAAACTCCAAGGAGCCTGGAACTGAAGTGGTTTATTACAGAAAGGAGAGGAACCTGGGGTTCTCAGGCACAGTTGAAACCATCAGTGTGTATCTCAAAATGTCCTTTGAAATGGTTTTGATGACAGTGGCAGGAGGAAGGGGAAATGCGCATGTTAAAGCCATTTGGCTACTCTTGAAATCAAGGCCAGGAAGAAAACATTTTCTAGCTGTAAATCACTTACTTTTCCTACATTCTTTAAAGCATTTTATACAAATGACTTTAACAGTTTTAAGGGTCATGCCTGAGGTTAAGAGACTGCATGGTATACATCTTGGTGATTAAAAAGCAATTTTTTATTGAGGTAGTAGCACTTCTGTTCACATCTGTGCTGTGAAATATTTATTTTACCTGCTGAGAAAGAATAGCCCCTTAGCTCAATATTGTACAGTGTACATTTACAGATTTTATCTGTCACAGGACATACAGCATTAAAAAATTTTAGTACTTAAAATGTAATTGTAGCAGAAAAGAAAAAAGAAATAAGCCATCAATAAAATTATGAAACTCATTGTAAAGAGTAATGATGATTAGTGAGATTTTGGTTAGGGATTATTGTGCCATATGCTGCATATACTATTGAATTTAATTTTTAAGTTCAATCCTACAAAGAGGAATTCTTATTCTTGAAACTATTGAGATAAGAGGCTCACAGAGACTAAGTGAATTAATTGCTCATTAGTTCAGACAGTGGAAGTAGTGAGATGAGGTATAAAAAACCAGGCAGAGAGCATGCTTTTATGTCTGCTTTATGGAGCCTAGTATATTGACCCTTGTGTTTCAGATGGTGCTCAGGCTGACAATGAAATAATCACTTTTGATTTCTTTTTAAGTGAGTGAATTCAAATAAGAATACAAAGTAAATACTTAGATGTCTTCATAGCTGTGGCAATAATGCTGAAGCTGGTGAGAAAGACAAACTTGGAAACCATTGCCATCACTGCCTGTTGGATATGTTAGTTTAAATTATACTAAAAAAAAATGTGATCTTGTAGTAATCCAGTCTTTGGTGGTTGTGGGGGCATGCTAGAGATTGAACCAGGGTCTCATGTGTGCTAAGTCTGCCTTTACCACTGAGCTGAACCTCTCCCCTGCCATCTCCTAGTGATCCATTCTTCTACATTCTGTTTTTGTGCTTTAAATTATTGCCAGTGCGTTAACCTGGAAGAGAAAGATTGTCCTTTTTTTATTTTATTTTTTTAAGGTATCAGATAGTTTAGTGATTTGCTGTATAGCCATTGAACTTGCATTAAACTCACAGAGTTTGGAATTTTTACTTGAATATTTTGTGCATTTCTGCCCTACTTTCATGATTTTCCCCTGTATTTGCTGACCTGTTCATGTGCACACCACTGTCCTGGCTTCTCACCACTGCATCCTCTCTTGTGTAGTAGTAGTAACATTGGATTGTACTGTGATGTGAAAGATGCCTTATGCTTACATATATATGCAGCACTGGGTAGCAGGATCTGTCTTCTTTTGCCAAGTAAAGTGTTCTCTGGGTTTTTGCTTCAGCGGAGCACTTTTCATTGCCAGCAGCACAGCACACATTAGGAGTAAGCAAATAAACAACACAAGGTGCTTGGAGCCAGGAAGTCGCATTGCAGACTAAAACCCCATAGTTTTTGGATTGACTTGGGAGTAGGGGAGCATTGTCTATCAAATGATAAACCCTGAGGTTCTTTCACTTCCAGGGTGTCAAATTGGTTTTGATGTTATGACAATCAGTTTCTTTGTAATTAAATATTAACTCATACTATGTCTTGGATAACTGAGTGTTAACCTTGCCATTCATTAGTTTTCTTAGACTTGTGATTAACATTCATTGAATTAAATATTTTGGAACTAATCTTGTACTGACTTAATGCTTTACTTTGAAATAAACCAAATGAATTGACGTAAATATTCCTAGGAGTGCCTAATTTAAAAAATAAGATCTGTTGTTTTTCTGTAGTTTAAAGGTCTCTTCCAAATTAATGGTATGTTATAGTAAATGAAAATATAACTGAAAATTATAAACCAAAAATCTGCAGGAGCTTTTTAAATAAGAAGAGAAAAGCTCATTTCAAACTTCACTTTAAAAACATTCATTAATAATACATTTTGTGTAGGCCAAAAATAAGGTGGGGGAGGGGGTTTTCTGCTTCACTATTAGATTTAACAGTAGTCTTGACTTATGGAACTTGAACCTTTGTAAATACTGACTATTTATGAAGTTTTTTTTTTTCTGTTGTCCTTGAATTGTACCCGTGGAAAACTCCTTTTCATTTATGGTTTCAGGTCACCAGGATATGTCAGTTATTGAAGAGAAAGTAGGCAAATGATTATTTTAGTTTTGATGGCACATTGAAAGTACCAGTGATTATTTTGAATGATGTATGCTTTTTCAACTATTAATAGCTTGTTCTTACCTCTTTTAGGACCTGCTGAAGTTCCCATGATGTCACCTAATGGATCCATTCCTCCCATTCACGTGCCTCCAGGTTATATCTCACAGGTACGATAGTTGATGGACTTTTCCACTTGCTATGTGTGCTGCCACCATTCCAGAAAACTGTATGTTGATGCCTCAAAAACTTACGCTTTGAATTAATTTAGTTATGGTAATCCTAGGGTTGCCATCATTTGTGTAGCACCATGTGACACTTCCTTCAACTTGCTGCACAGAGTGCCGGAGAGTCAGAGAGAAAGAAACAGATGGGCTACAAGGTTGGCCAACTCAGATTTCATATCTAATCACCTGATGGTGATTCCTTCATGATGGAACGTGCTGTAGAAATTTCCTGTCACCTGCAATACAGCTTGCTTGGAAAAGTTTTTGTAGACTTAATTAGTAAAACCAAAGATGACATTGTTCTGTGTCATGAGAATCTTACGTCTTCTATACTGTGACATAACCTGAACCTGATGAATTACTTAAGTATAATGTGAGAGGTGGGTTATTTGTCCTTCAGTTGCTCTGGATTTTGGTTTTCTCTGAACTAAAGAATGGTAATAGCAACCTCAAGGATATATTAGAAAACAGAAATGATTTCAAGGTGTATTACACTCCTCTACCTGGGTAAGGTGTGAAGTGTTTGGTGTCCCTCAAGGTGCAGTGGATGTCTGCTAATACTTATGTTTTTGCCTGAGTCTCAGCAAATGTCTCCCTGCCTCTCTCTACCTAATTACATTTCCAAATACCTCAGTGATGTTTTTCTTTTTTCCTTTCTGCCTCCTTTGTTCTTTGTTTCCTGCTTAGAAGAACATTATGTATGCATTGGAAAAAATTAGTGAAAAGACCCAGAAGGATATTTTAAAAAATTTATAAATATGCGACCAGAGATGATAATCACTGTGTTGACATTTTTTAGCTTATCGCCTTCCAGATGTGTTTTTTATTTCCTTTTTTGTATTCTTTCATTCTCTCTGCCTCTGCTTTAAAGTGGCTTAAAGCTGAAATTTTCATTTTTTAATGACTTTTGCTGGGGTAAAAAAAATTGGCAGCTGCATAGGCAAATGGCTGAAGCATGGGCAAGAATCAAAGATTTATCCTTCTCTCATGTAAAAATGTATCCATTTCTTCACTGTAAGGCATAACACAGCCACTAATTTCATTCTTTCCATCCTTTTATGTGAGCCAGTGTGACCTTTTTTTCTTCAATTTTTGAGTAGCCAGATTGTTGGCAAGTTTTCTGCCTGTTGCAAATAAATGACTTGTTTTACACAAGTCTTTGTAAGAAAGAATCGCTGGAGGGAGAAAAGAGTGCAGAATAGTCTCTTCCAGCAGGGACACAAGATGATGAATGACATTCACGTCACCAGCCAATTAACAGAAAAGAACAAGGAATGTAGAATTCCATTATGTCTCCTGCTCATTTATTTTGAGGAAGTGTTTCATTCCATTGAACACACTACAGTTCTCACCATTATAACAACAAAAATAACACCTCCTTTTATGCTAAGGTTTGCCACAAGGAATACTAGTTAAAAATTGAACATTTTAATGGCAAGAAGCTGCAGTGTGCACTTTCTTGTTAATAGTGTTGCTGTAATTATAATAAATGTAAAACATTTAGTGTGAATCTTAGGAAAAATGAAGAATTATCAACCTTGATATATTTCTGATTTCAAACAACTATTGAAAGTTGAAGTAGAAAGGGTAAAAGCAGAGCTGTAAAGTCACATAAAACTAATGATGGGAACATAGTGACACTCTGTCCAAGCTGATGATTGTGGTAGAAAATGCTAGAAGATGCTGCAAGCATAGTAAACAAAGAACAATTTAGATTTGCAGTTGAAAGGGAGGAACCAGTAATTCTGTAAGGCATATGTATAACTTTTCAGTTGGGCTCTGTGACCAGAAGATGGACTCAGTTTACTGACCTCTGGTGATAGATTATATCTTTAATGATACGTTGCAACAGCGTATCTGAGAAAAACAGATTCATATGAAGAAAACTGAGCAGATAATTGAATAGGATGTGTGTATATCATCTTCTTTGAGGTTGGCAACATATACCCATCAAAGGTGTGATGATAGTAGAACTAAATATAAAGTGTTTTAAGAGACTTCTCATCATCATGAGTCCTAAAGAGCAAATTATCTTGTTGTCATAAGTTGTGGAGATAATGAGTATATTTAAAAGAACAAAAACACCCCCCACCCCCCCACCCCCCGCCGAGGGGGTTGGCTGGAAAACATGAGAGGTGCTCAGAGCTAGTTTATCCCCTACTTATCAGTTCTGTGTTTCATGCCCCTAGGCCTTTTCCTGATACATTTATTCTTGTTCACATTTAAATTTGTGTGTCCATTGCATACAAATAAAGTTCTATAGTATGGTGGATAAGATCCTTAAACAGTCAACTGTGTTCTTCTTTCACACTGTGACTTGTTAAATTTCTGTTCCCTGGACTCATTTTGCCTTTCCTTAACTATATGCTTTTGTGCCCACTATTGTGCTCGTCTAGAATACTCTAGAGCATTTGATGGTGAGTCTATGGCACATGTGCCGCAGGTGGCTGTTTATTATCGTTGAAAGCTCTAAAAGGTTCACCATCACTGTTCTAGAGCCCTTCTTTGTCTCCTTCTTACATTACTACATAGCATTGTGTGTGCTAATGTAAAATAGTATATCCACTTTGGGAAACAGTCTGTTGATTTCTCAAATGGTTCAATGTAGAGTTTACATATAGTCCAGCAATTATACTTCTTCAGTCATTCTGTCAAGTGAAACTTGCTTCCTCATTGTGACCCTCTTAGAACCTCCAGCACAGAAATAATTGTTCACATACCTTTGGCATACTGTCTGTATCTGTCATGGAAGACAGTGTTTTTTATAATAATCCCCAAGTTTTCTTATTGCCTCATGTGGGTTGTGTCTCAACATCTAGAACACTGCTGGACATGTAATAGGTACTTAATGAATGTTAGTTATAATCCAAACTTAAGTGCAATAAGTCTTGCACTACTTAACATTTCTGCCAATGACAGACTACATGTACTATAGTGGGTCCCCTGTGATTGCATTCTCTAGGTATATGGATGCTAACCTAGCTTGTATAAATATAGTCTCTGATGTCCCCACAATAAAAATGCCTAATGACCCTTTTACCAGAACATATCCCTGCCATTAAGTGATAGATAACTGTATGAGAGAGGTTTATCTTTATGCTTTAAAGATCATCTTAATGCAGATTTGAGTACAGGAGTGCCAGATATCTGGAAAATCAGAGCAGACTGATTTGTACTTACAAGTAATGAAATGCTCTGAGTGTGTTTTTAAAAGACAGAGGAGCATGAACATAGTTCAGTGGAGGAAAAATGACTATTTTTAACAAATAGTGCTAGGACAGTTTGATATCCATATATGCAAAAAGAGTGAAATTTAACCTTCTATCTTATATCATACAAAATGTAACTGAAAATTTATTATAAGCATAAGAACTAAAACAAGAGGAAAATTTTATAACCATGGATTAGGCACTGGATTTTTAGATGTGACAGAAAAAGCATGAGAAACAAAAGAGAAAAAATAGATAAATCTGACTTGTATCCATATTAAATTTTTTGTGCCTCACAGAATACTGTCAGAAGAAGTAAAAATATAACTCACAGAAAGTATGTGCAGATCATCTATGGAAAGATTGGACTTGTACCTAGAATATATAAAGACCTCTTAGAACTCAAGAGTAAAAGACAACCCAATATGAAAATGGGCTAATGATGTGAATAGATGTTTAACTAAATAAGCTAGAAAAGTGGCCACTTAGCACTTGAAGAGATGTTCAGCATCTTTGGCCATCAGAAAAATACCTATTTGTTGGTCATAGAGCCCAACTGAAAAGTTAGACAATGCCCTAAGATAGCTGTACTGAAAACAAAAAAACAAAAAAACAAAAAAAAAAAACAATTACTGTACTCATGCAGTGCCTATGGTAATATAAAATGGTACACTCACTTTGGAAAACAGTGACAGTTTCTCAAACGCTTCAGTATAGTATTGCCAGATGATCTAGCAGCTACACTCTATACATGAGTGTTCATAGCAGTATTACTCGTAATAATTTTAAAGTGAAAACAGCACAGATGTCCATCAGTTTATGTATGGGTATATATACTACAATGTGATGTATGCATAGAATAGATTATTATTTGGCCATAGTATTTGAATCAATGCTAAAATGTGGATAAGCTTTAAAACAGTAAGCTAAGTGAAAGAAACTAGATACCATAACTGCATATTGTATCATTTCATTTATATGATAGTGGGTGTGTAAGTGTGCTCACAATGGGCAAATCCAGAGACGTGATTGCTAGAGGCCAAGAGAGGGAATGTAGTGTGTGTTTTGGGGTAATAAAAATGTTCCAGAAGTAGATAGTATTGCTCATGAAACTGTGATTATATTAAAATCTACTAAATCAAACATTTAAAGGATAGATTTTTACAGTGCATAAATGATATCTCAATAAAACTGTTAAAAAAGAGAAAGGCAATGGCAGCATCCCAGTTATGTATCAGCAAATATAAGGCATCTGTGCAAGAAGACCCTGCCTGTTCTGTTGCCATTGGTTGTGGTAAGTGGTGGTAGTAGACACTGTGTCCACCATGCAGGGTATGAAATGGTTTAGTTACTCCTCTGGTTGTTACCATCCTGTGTTTACATATGGGGAAGCTTGACTAGAGCCAAGATTGCAAGCCAGGCATTTCTGATTACATTAATTTCTTTTCCTCCTGTAATTTAGTCAGTGGTGGAGCTGTCTTGATGGATTCACTGCTCTCTGGCAGTGTGAGTGTGGGTGTATGGTGGGCCTGCTTACATATTCATCTTCCTTACTCAGACATCAGCTACTCGTTTATTAGATGGTCTGTTATTGTAAGAAAATTGAAAAGGGAGGCAGGTAAGCTATTAAAGATAGTATATTAGTTACTGAATCAATGCATAAACTCTTGATTATAGTAAGTTCATAGTGTAAGTAGTGGAAATCTCTTTAAAGATAAAATGATAAAAATACTC